TAGATAGATAGATAGATAGATAGATAGATAGATAGATAGATAGATAGTCAGACAGACAGAAAGACAGACAGAGTTATAATCTCGGGGGAGGTTGAAAAGCTGTCATTAGAAAATAGGAACCCTGAAGTGCTTCTGGAGGCTGACAGGTCCCTCTGCTGGCAAGCTGAAGAGTACATTTCCCAGGAATTAGGTGCTACATTTTCAGAGTTTGTCTATGTTTATTTCTTTGCGCTTCTATCATCATCTATCTGCCCCTTACTCAAAATATGTTTATTGTGTTTCTATGCACGTGCTGGAGTACAGATCACATCTTACGTGGGAAAATGGCATGAATTTACATAACATCGAGTGGAGACAAGGATATGGACGGAACAATGAGCAAGCACGGCCACTGTTTTACGTACAACAGACTTTATTCAGTTCCTCTTGCGTATGTCCTGGTGAGTATGACAGATTGCCACATGGATAAGGGTAATTACGAGTCATGTGATACTGCAGTTAACCAACTCAGAATCATAAACCTTTTCACGGCATTACGGCCCCCCTGGACTGACTATTCATTGTGAGGTGACCAAGATCGTAGCTAGCTTGGACCTTTCCAACACTGCAGTCAAGAAGATGCTTAAGTGCAATAAATGTGAACTTTTAGGTACTGGGTTTCAGGTTATATACACTATTTCTTGAGACTTTGAAAAGGACAAGTTAACATCTTTTTTCTTGGCACCCTGACAAAGATGATCCTATGTCTAGGAGGTGAAAGTATATGCTCTTAACTGACCGTGTGGGCAGTGAGGGTTTGCCTAGCTGTCAGTTTGGTGCCTCCCATCAGATCTTGCTCTAGTCCCCTCACATGAACATCAATGTCTCCAGCTGCATCAGCCTGAGGTGTCTGTTCAACAGGACAACAGCACAGGACCAAGCATATTCTGTTCACAATCAGACTTGGATTCAGAATGACATCTCATTCAGAAACCAGTGTCAGTCAAGGACTCTAAAGGAATAATTTAATATCATAGTTTCTGGTTATGTTGCTGTATTCATCTGGTATATATTATTACATGAAGAAATGGCATGGAGATTAGTTTTTTGGAACTTAGGAGCCAACTGTGTAGAGCATAACTGTCTTAGTTAGGGTTTCCATTGCTGTGAAGAGACACCATGACCACAGCAACTCTTACAAGGAAAAATTTAATTTAGGAGGCTCGCTTACAGTTTCAGAGGTTCAGTCCATTATCATCATGATGGGGAACATGGTGGCATGCAGGCAAACATAGTGCCAGAGTAGGAACTGAGAGTCTTACATTTTGTAGGCAACAGGAAGTTGACTAAGACCCTGGGTAGTAAACTGAGCATAGGCAACCTCAAGGCCCACCCCCACAGCGACACACTTCCTCCAACAAGGCCATACCCACTCCAACAAAGCCTCCTAATAGTGCCACTCACTATGAGATTATGAGGGCCAGTGACATCCAAACTACCACAGTAACATAGGAGTTTGCGGCAGAGAAAAGTCTATAATCATACACATAAGACATATAATTCTGTGATGCTATGGTTAGGGTTTTAAATGATGAAATGAGAGATCATGTTTGCTTCACATACACATGTTCTTGACCAGAGTAGAGAAGGTTCAGAGAAACTAAAATCTTGCTCACATCACAATGATTACTCAGTCCAATGGGACTGTAATGCCATGGAAAAGTGTATGGTCCTGAGTTGGTAATTGCTACATCACATGACTCAAATGCCCCTTATCTATATGACAATCTGCCATACTCAGTGATACATACGTAAAAGGAACTGAACAATGTTTCAGGTGATGTTGAAAGCTGGAAAATTCATATCCACATTGTTAGATAAAATCTCATCTTCCAGGGATTTACCAAGGGTGTGAGAGGCACAAGTTAAGAGCAAAACTCTTGAACCACAGTTGGTGAACTTTCTCATTCCAAAAATTATACCCTATATGGTAGTTTCTCATCAAAAGACTATCAAAGCCTGATCTAAAGTTTCTTTCTAGAAGGTTTGAAAGCTGATGAAAACTTTTAATCTCAATAGTAAGCCTTACAAACACCAGAAGGTGCTTGAAACTGTTCCAAACTGCCATCAACTATAATATTGTTCAAGTTTAATATTCACCCTTACATGTTTGGTTCTTTCATTAAGTCAAAAATATTTGTTTAGGTCAGCCTATTTCAATACTCTGTGACTGTCATTTACTTAAAATATTTTATTATCTTTAATAAACTCAATTGTTGTGTAATGTAGAAAAATTTCAGTCTTCTACCAAATCCATTTTGAAAGGAAAAGTAGTGTAAGAAAAGGTCTTCTGTGTCTTTAGGAACCTTCTCAGTAGAGACAAATGACTTTGAGCAACAGTGGCTAAAACCTCAAGGGAAGGGTCAGAGTGCTTGTGCCATTAAACCTATGCTCAATTATACCAAAACCCCCTCATGTTATAAGTGGCACATCTAAGTAAAGGCTTGGATGAATAAAGGGAATATTGTTTTAATGTAAGATACAAGAGGCATGATGCTTTTTAGTCTACTTTTATTACAGAAAATGTATACAAATAAAACTTATTAGTTTTAAAATTATAATAAAAGAGGGCTATAGAGATGACTCAGTGGTTAAGAGCACTTGTTGCTTTTGCAGAGAACCTGGACTCAGTTCCCAGAACCCACATGATGATTAACAATAGCTATGACTCCATTCCTGTAAGACCCAATGCCTTCTTGATTCACAAGGCATTGCATGTGTATGGTGCACAGGCACACAGGCATATAGAACATCCATACACACAAAATAAAAGCAAACAAATCTTTTAAAGCATACACTAAGAATCATTTTATTTAGTAAATCGTCTTTCTAGACTTCAGGTTCTGGAGATTATTTTTATTCATATGCCTGAGGAACTAATATCGAAGACAAAATTTTTAATATAGAAATCAAGGTGGGATTTTTCTCCCTTCTCTCAATTAGTTTTTTGCAGCCAGTCTATGCATCAGTCTCTTATTTAAAAATGCACCAAAGATAACAAAGTAAAATGCTGTCATTTGAAGAAAGAAGTATGTGTGTGGGGGGGGCAATGGCAAAATCAAGTCGTTGTTATATGCTTTTCTATATAGGCATATTCAGTCTAAAGAATAAGAAATGATTGAATCCATACATCAATATCTTGTATATTAATGAAGGAATAAACCCAGACAAAAGTCCTCAGTGCCTACTAACCTCATGATCCACTCAATACTAACTTTGAAGAAATCATGTATATATAACATACAGCATGTACAGCATCTATGAGGAATTCCTCATTTACCTACGGTAAATCTAGACCAAACCAACACTGCACAGGACACACAGAGGACAGATGAATGTGAGAGATAAAACATGTTAAGGTGATTGGCAAACGTGGCAAAATATCAAAGTGGGAAGCTGTAAGACAAGTGAGCGGATAAATTGCCAAGGTAACACTCAAAATGAAAACAGGGAGCAGCATTGTTTGTCATAGCCAGAACCTGGAAACAGCCTACATGCCCCTCGACCAAAGAATGGATAAGGAAAATGTGGTACATTTACACAATGGAGTACTACACAGCAGAAAAAAATAATGGCATCTTGAATTTTGCAGGCAAATGGATGGAGCTAGAAAACATTTTTTTGAGTGCGGTAGCCCAGACACAGAAAGACAATTATCACATGTACTCACTCATAAGTGATTTTTAAACATAAAGCAAAGAAAACCAGCCTACAAATCACAATCCCAGAGAACCTAGACAACAATGAGGACCCTAAGAGAGACATACATGGATCTAATCTACATGGGAAGTAGAAAAACACAAGATCTCCTGAGTAAATTGGGAGCATGGGGACCTTGGGGGAGGGCTGAAAGGGGGAGGGGAGAGGCAGCGAGGGGAGTAGAGAAAAATGTAGAGCTCAATAAAAAAAAATAATAATAAATAAAGATACTGAAAAATTTGTTAATCAATTTCAAGACAAGATAACGGTGCTACAGTTGTATTTTGGGAAAATCCCTTCACTTTTTATTGGTGGTACTAATGGTTTTGCAAGATAAATTACAAAATGCCTGAGACATCTTATTTTCATAACGGTCTAGCTAGTAGAGGGACTGTCTATATCAAATGAAAGTAACAGTGAATTTTAACTGGATGTCGGTTACCAGACATTCTAACTTTTAGGTGTTTGGGGAATTTTCACAACAGAATATTCAGAAAGATTTCAGAGGAGGACTGTTAGAGAGTAGAAAGTGGACTATCTGGAAATGCAGGATGATGTTGTAGGCAGGGGAGAAATAAGACATACCTCATATACTCATACAAAAATGTCAAGATGAAGCTGCATTCGGATATAATTAACATGCATGGAAAGCTACAGAGAACTTGAAGGCTAGAGGGAAATGACTGGAAGGACTTACCTTGCTGGATGTCTTTCATTTCTAAATGTAAACTAGATATCAAGATTCCCACAGTTTGAGATCGTTTTCCATCCAATAATTTGATGATCTATAATTTTAAGTAAAAAGAGAAAAATACAAGCTCAAATGATCATGCAATCCTTCAGAAAAAAAAACACCAAGACTTTATGACTTTTGGATATATTGATACACTAAGGGAACATATTGACATTATCACAGGCACTTGACTTAATGCTTAAATTCAAAGTCGCATATCTACATTACAATTAAAAAATAAAGGAAAATGCCTTGCAGAATTCAACTGGTCTAACACAAACACCAAACATATTTAGGTTATTTTACTCTGATTTTTTTTTTAACGTTTTAAAATAATTTGCTTGACCATATAGACCAGATTGGTCTAGGACTTAAAACCTTTTGCCTCAGCCTCCTGAGAAAAAAGGTTAAAAGGAATGTGCCACCACTCCTGGCTACTTTGACCTCTTCAAACATAAGGGGCCTAGAGAACAAGACATGGATTCTGGCTGCTGATAGGTAAAAGCAAGCTAACCCCGCTAACCCACCATCACTTCATTATTCAGGCAGTCACAGGGGTGGGAAGGATGTTATCACAGAAAGCCTTTCTTGGTCAGAGTGCTACCTGTTACTGAGCTCACAGGTTGTGTTTCTTCTGAAGTTGGTTTTGCTCCCCAAACAGGGAAGGAGACAAGTTAGAGTATTTTTAGGCTTTGCCCATACATATGTACTAAATTCTCTTTATGCTTCTAACGAGACCCTCATCCGCATCTCTAAGTTTTTGCTTATCCACTCTTTCATTGTGGAATGAATAAGATCCCCCTTCAAGAATAGACAAAAATGGAAAGAAGACAATGAATACACCATTATATGACTCAGATCCTCTTTGTTGAACATTATTTTCTCTCAGTTTTGAAAGCTTCATTCTATTTGAGTTTGGATTATTACCATGGAAAGCCCACAGCAGGAAACACACTATATTAAAAACCCTCAAGTATATACAACAGCATAACTCATACCGCTAACTACATGTTTATCGTTCTATATCCTATCTCTGAAACTTTCTCAGCTTGAATGATGGAAAATTTATCTGAATTACAACCTCCCAATACTTCCATCCCCCATATAAAAAATCACATTCTTCTCCATTGAGGGTGTATTAATTACTTAACTAAATACGGTGGTTTGAATACGAATGGCCCCCATAGACTCAAACATTTGAATTCTTGATAGAGAGTAGTTCTACTTGAGAGAGACTAGGAGGTATGGCCTTGTTGGAGGAAGTTGGGGTTTCAAATGCTCAAGCCCAGAGTTTTGCTCACTTCCTGCTGCCTGCCTACCCAGATGTAGAACTCTCAGCTATCTCTTCACCACCTTGTCTACCTGGGAGCTGCCATTCTTCCTGCCATGAAGCTAATGGACTGACCTTCTGAAACTGTAAGCCAGCCCCAACTTAATGCTTTACTTTATAACAGTTGCTGTGGCCACGGTGTCTCTTCACAGCAATAGAACAATGATAAAGACATTAACTAATTAGTTTGCTAATTGGCTGATGATTTTTCTTGCCTAAAACTTGCAAAACTGGGCACCAATGACTTGTTCTTGACTTCAGTGACAAAGGTTTCAGTTGCTCACCGTTGGTTAGAATGTATCTTCAAGTTTTAAAAACATAACCTTTATTATGCCCCAGCAATCTCCTTTTGTTATTAATTCAGTAAGCTTTTTCTTTAATCATGAAATGTGTTGTGCTAGATAGGTTTTTTTTTGTCAACTTAACACTTTTAAATTCAGTTTAGAAAGAAGAACCTCAGTTCAGAAAATGCCTCCATCAGATTGACCTGTAGTCAAGACCACAGGAAATTTTCTTGATTATTGATTGATGAGGAAGGGCCTAGCCCAGTGCTAACCTTGAACAGGTTGTCCTAAGTTGTACAAGAAAGCAATCTTAGCAAGCCATGAGGAGAAAGCTAGTAAGCAGCATTCCTCTGTGTTCCCTGCTTCAGTTCCTCCCTCCGGGTTTGGTGATATACTGGTAGCTTTTGGTCATGATGTTTCATCACAGCAACAAAACCCTAACACTGATGTCAAACTTTGTCAAGTGCTCTATGTCTTTTCAGGCGAACATGTGATTTTAATCCTTTGTTTTGTTAATGTATCTGAATCACACACCAATCTGCAGGTATAAACACAAACACTTGTGGAGGGAGGGAGAAAGAGAGAGAGAGAGAGAGAGAGAGAGAGAGAGAGAGAGAGAGAGAG